TGCCTTTTGGGGTCACAGTCTCTGTGAGCTGTCCATCCTCCCCCGCAGGGTCTGCAGAACACCCTAATATCTGCAATTACAGAAGACCCTAGTTTCGGTTGTCGGGTGACCATGGGTTTTCTAGATTTAATAAATTTGGGAAAGGAAGCATGCCACAGCCACCTTATGAAGACCTGTGACCTGTGACGATGTGCTAAAGACCCTAAGAAGTCACACACTACATGAACTGGCTTCAGTGTGTTGAATCATGTGTTTTAGGAGCCCATCAGGCCCCGGGTTTCTGTCCCCTCCCAAACCAATATGACCAACAGTGGAACTAGTCGTCCACAGAGCACCTTTCACGTTGCTCCCGAACCTTCTCAATTAAAGGTGCCTGTTCCAAATTGCTGGACATCTAGATGAAGGTCCAGATGGGTGGGACAAGACCCATCGCAGAGCAGGTGTCAAACACAGGCGAAGGATGCGTCACACACCAAACTGAGCTCTAGGGGAGACCACATAGATTTTGGGGTTGCAGTCAAGTGGCTCTGGTAGAGCACCTCTGAGGACCAGACCGCTGTGGGAAAAGCAAAATGGCGTCAGGCATGTCAAGTTTCCAGACTTGAAAGAGGAGCTATGCGTCGGTCTTCGGAGTATAAAGAGCCAAGGCCACTGGGATTTCTGTGAACAGACTGCCATCCTGCTGGGACTCCAGAGGCTAGGACTGAGCCGGCAGAGCAGGATGGATGTCGGCCAGGAGGGTAACACTGGAGAGCACGGGCCAGAGCCAGAAGGCAGCAAACAGGCAGCAGGGACACTGTGTGTATGGGATGGTACCGGTGGGGTCTCTGAAGTGTACGGCTAGCAGCAGGCAGGAAGCAGAGAGGAGTAGAAAGAGGGAGGACGAGAGCCATCAGGGGGAGACGTGAACGAGGAAGGCCGGTCCACCACTGACATCATTTCTCTTCTCACCTCCAGGCTTGTCCTCTTAACGATCCCAGCTGAGCTTGTTCAGACTCTGCCAGGGACACGGCCAATGGAGGCATCGGACAAATGCTGAGGGACTCTGGGTCCCCCCCTGACCAACAGGCAAGAGAGTGCAGACCTCTTGGCCAACTCTTTAGAAGGCAGCAGGGCTCCACTCCCCCTGCTTGTGTTCCCTCTCTCGCTGTCTCTCTGTCAAATAAATAAAAATTAAAAAAAAAAAAAAAGGCAGTAGGGCTCACATAAAAAAATATTTGATGGGACCAGGGATGACACTGCCATTGTCCGAAAAATAAAGGGGATCTGCAAGGTTATTTTCATGTACTATTTGGGACAAAGGATCCATGAAACAGATGTCGCTATTTTATAAAACAAAACAAAAAGCCAGTACTAACAAGGCATGAAAAATACATAGTAACCTGTACCCTCAAATTTCCAAGTTGGAGCTTACATAGGGTGTAAGGACACACGGGGTGACCTAATCAATACTTTGTGGTTCAGAGTGTTGGCAGAGTCAGGACAGCTCATATCTCATACCAACACCCGAGGGCTACAGAAGGAAAATTTTGAAAAATTTTTAAAAACTTGTATCACCGCCAAATTCTTTATTCAGAATGACAAAATCTTTCTGTGATTCAGTGCTTCTCAACCCTACAGGCACATGAGAATCATCAGCCAGGACACTTTTAAAGAGCACCAGTGCCTGAATTCCAGCCCAGGCCAATTAGGGCAGCCTCGAAGAATGGGGTCGGGGCCACCGGAGAGCAGCCTTCTTTTTTTTAAAAGCTTATTCTATCTTTTGTTGCGTAATGAGCCATCCTCAAAACGAAGCAGCTTATTTTTTATCTGGGTCACAAATCCACACTCTTGGCAGAGTTTGGCAGGCACAGTCATGTACCGTATACAGCATTAGCTGAGAAGGTTCGGCCCGGCCAGGAAGACTCCGAGACCATCCCCTCCCAAAGCTGGTAAGTGGGCGCTGGCTGTCAGCTCGGTGCCCAGCTGGGGGTGAAGGCCGGGGGCTTTAACTGCTCTCCGAGGGGCCGCCCAGGCTCCCACACGGCAAGGTAACAGGGTTCTAAGAGTGAGTATTCAAGAGACCCAGGCATAATCGACAAGGCTCTTTCTGACTCAGCTTCCGAAGTCCTAGCACATCACTTCCACCACATTCTGGTAGATAAGTCAGTCGCTGAGGCCAGCTCATAGTCAGAGGGAGTGCACTTAGATTTCGACCCTCAATGGGGGGAGGACCAAGCACCTGCTGCCATTTCTACCACAAAGCTCCTGCATGTGGAGGGATGTATTAGGTCCCCGTGGCTACTGTAACAAGTACCACAAAGTCGGTAAATGACGGAAATCTAGTCCCTTGCCATTTTGGAGGCCAGAAGGCCAAAATCAGTGGCAACGGGCTGAAATCAAGATGTCAGGAGGGCTGTGCTCCCTCCAGAGGCTCCATGAGAGAAGCCGTTTCTTGCCTCTTCTGGCCTCTGGTGGCTTACATTCCTTGGCATGCGGCCACATCCTTAAATCTCTCTCCACTCCATCTTCGCATTTTTCCTTCTCTGCGTGCCTACGTCAAATCTCCTTCTGCATTTTATGATACATGGGATTGCATTTAGGGGCCACCCTGGTAATCCAGAGTGGTCCCTCACAGTCCTTATTTTAATCGTATCTGCAAAGACCCTTTTCCCAAATAAGGTAATATTTACAGGTTCCAGGGTTCAGGACCTGCTGCTAGCTTTTTGGGGGGGGACCATTATTCTGCCAACCACAATAATGAGAAAGGTGGATGTGAGCTCCAAAATCTGCCTCCAGGTCTTGCTAAAGAAACTCAGTTTCCCAAGTCATCCTGAATCAAAGGCAGCAGGACCAAAGCCTGGAGCTGGGATGGGAGTGAAGCACTTTGTACGATGTCTAGGTCATAACAGCCATCAGCCAGGAAAATTATATACAATTGTTTGTTGTTGTTTTTTTTTTTTTTAACTTGACCAAAATGCTTTTGTAAAGTGAGCTTTAATTTGTCAGTGTTTCAAGAGGGTAGTTTGAAGACTTTAAAATGTGTCCGTAGATTTTCGGAGCTCAGAAATGGGATAAATGTGGAGAATTCCCCTGGTATTGCTAAAAAATAGCACAGGGGCCTTCAACTGATGCAAATGACTTTCTTCTCTCCCCAAAACACTTACAACTTTAGGTTTCTGTCTCTGGGAAAGCTGGTTAGAAACTGATCATCTGCAAGCTCACTGTACCTTAAAGCACCTGGGCCAGTACCCTAGACAACGGAGCAAGGGTGACCCTAAACCAGTAAGCCCTCCACTTAATTTCATGTTTAATACAAATTTTAAAATACACAAACCACATCCATTTAGCGTGCAAGAGTAATTTACGCAGTGCATCCCCTCCCTATACCCTTAAAAGTTGATGGTGGCAGTTTTGGCTTTAAATCAGAACAGTGTGTGGAATGGGCAAATCATTTACCAAGTTCTTGAATGACCGATCGTCATCAGAGAGGAGGCAGTTGCTTAACATATCATCATTCAAGGGGCACCTAGGTGGCTCAGTCGGTTAAGCATCTGACTCTTGATTTCAGCTCAGGTCATGATCTCAGGGTCCTGGGATCAAGCCCCGAGTCCTTGGACTCTGCGCTCAGCGGGAAGTCTGCTTCGGGATTCTCTCTCCCTCTGCTCCCACCCCCACTCTCTCTAATAAATAAATCTTAAAAAAAAAAAAAAAGATTTAAGATATTTCCCCTTACTCTCTCCAACTTCTAGGAATTTCTAGTTTTTCTTTCCCCATTCGCTGGAGAAACAGTAATCAACAGCACAAAGCAAACAACCCCTCGGCTGCCTCACACAGCAAGGGTCTCCGCAGGGTAAGGAGACAAGCAGGGATCCGTCATCCCAGGACACAAGTCCAGGTCTTCAGGGCCAGCTCCCACTCAGAAACCAAGAGGGGTGAACAGTAAGACGCACGCCTACAGTTCTTGGTTTTCAACCTTTCCTCTGAGGCCCTTCCTTGGGAGGAAGCAGATCTTTCTGGCTGCCTCGCGATCTGTCAGGGAGGCGGAAGGTTGTTGTCCGAATCTCTGATAATATATTCCTATTCAGTGCTTTATGCTCCTGGTCCATTTTGAAAGAGCAGCCGCTGAATTTTGTGCTATAGCCGCAATTTTTAATTCTTAACCAAAGTTTACGTGACTGGCTTGCTGGAGCAAACAATGCAATCCCCGTTCCTTCTGTAAGACACATTCCGCTGATGCCTTGAACTTGCAGGGTGCTCTCAACGCATATACTCTGGTCCTCGTGGCTGATGCTCCCCACGGATCAGCTGTGCTTGTTACCAAACCTGTTTATGCCCACTTTATTGGTTTTGGGAACCACAGTACGCAGTTCCATGTTACATGACCTGATCTGAATAGGAGTGTCGAGAGGGCTGTTGCCATGCAAATGAAGTTGAACGCATTTATGAGTCTCGTGGGGACTGCATCATAGGAGGTGTAGGTATCAATCATCAACGATGGGAAGGTGTCTTAAACACTTACAAGGACTTTACATTCAGGTTGCTTCAAGTGTAGGTTTGCTCTCTGTTTCAAAGAGACTGAACCTGGAAACGTTCAACCACGCATTCCAGGAGATGCTTACGCAGGAGTGTTGCTGAAGAATGGGAAGGAGCAGAGCCACTGTCAGTGAAAAACCATTTGGGATTTGAGAACTGACCTACGTTTATACATTTTGAGTGAAAATAAAGTGTTCACGTATTTCTTTTCATTGCCCTTGTTGGCCAACTTTTTTTTTTTCCTTCTGATGAGAAGTAATCAATACTGCACTTACCTCTGTCCCTAGAGCAAGGGAAGCAAGCCAAGGGACTCAGTCACAACAGCACAAGAGAAATGCAGAGAAGGAGGAAACAGCTTAATTGCTGCACATCGCCTAAACCGCTGCTTAGAGAGTGCAACCTTCCTAGCAATCTGGTTTGGTGTTAACTCCCCACCCCTCCCCCCTCCGCCCCTCCAACGCTGAGAAAGGGACACTGGTTCATACCCATCCTTTTTGTAAAACTCCAGCATCATATTATCCGTGGCAACGCTGAGGGGCCGGCGGGCCTGCTCGGGCTGGCGCCGGTCAGCGGGGTCCATGTCTGGGGAGGGCATTGAGCTGTAGTTGGCGTTGTGGTTCACGTGTACGGGACTCCCATAATTCCCTGTGATGTTGAACTCTATCTCTGCAGGGACGAGAGAATGGGTGTACGTGATCTATTGGTCACACCGTTCCCGACATGGCCTGTCCTCTACGCTTTACCCCTAGAAAACTGTGTCCCGTGGTTCAACGTTAGGTCATCTGTTGATACGAATTCATCCTAATATAATTCATCCTATTAGCAGGTGAACACAAGTGCTCAGCTATCACACTAATATGATGAACATTAAATAAAGCAGTTTCTACTTATGGTTAAAAGCCAACTTAGTGAAATAGGAACAGATGGGTACTTTCTGAAAAAAGACAAAATCATCTATCTCAAACCTCATGGTTACAAGTGAAACAACACAGCAGTCAAATCAGGAAAAAGGGCAATGCCCACTCCCACTGCTGTTATTTAACACTATTGGAAAAGTGCTGGCCAATGGAATAAGTCAAGAAAATAAAATAAGAGGCAGTATTATTATTTACAGGTGACGACATTGTCTTTCTGGAAAACCAAAGATAAAACATTAAAAAGGATTGGAAACCAGAGATTTCACTAAGGTCGCTATGGTTGTTGGCTGGTTAGTGCGGGCAGTGGACACCTGTGGCCAGAATGTCGCTCAGTCGGGGATTAGATAGTAAGAAACCGCCATGGCTCACGCATGTGTGTAGGAGGATTAATGACAAACACCGCTGATTTCAGAAGTTGTGAACTCACAGTAACACTCTCATTCCTACCCCGGCCCCCCATTCCTGTATCTCGATGCCACCACGTACCCCCAGGGAAGAACCAGTCTGCATGCTGGATGATGGGCTCGATGATCCCAACAATCTGCAGTGAAACTGTGGTCATCATTTCCGTGATGTTCCTGCGAGTACAGAGCAGAGAGGGGGCAGGGCCAGGTTACTAGCCGAGGCAGCGGCAAGGCACACCTGGCCCCACAGCCCGGGAAGGGCCCCTGGACTGGAAGCCTGCTGACCTAGGTCTGAGAGTAGGCTTTCTCTTTGGAAGGACACTTCACCTTTCCATAGGTGTCCTCCTTACAAGAGACGTGTGAATGAGTAATATATACGAAATCACCAAGTACCAGGCACCTTTCACCATGAGGTGTGATTCTCACAAATGCCAGATCCATCTGCTTTCCAACTCTGTTCTCTCTCTTGAGACAGCCCTCCATCCCCTGCATCCAGATGCTGGGATGTGTGCTCTTCACACACATGAGGGGTGTGAGGAAGGCTTAGAAGAGCTTGCCTGGCCCACTGCGGGCTCAGATTAGCTCAGAGAAGACCTGAGCTCACTGCAGGCCTGTAGCCCTGAGACCATCAGTGAGAAAGATCTGCACAATTCTGGGTCTTCTGAGCCTAAAACATGAGCAGGCCAAGAAAGAAATAGGACTTGACAAATAAAAGAGGCTGATGACTTATCTGGGGCCCTGGCTGTCCCGCCCACACGCCACCCCCCCACATGTTCCTCCTTGGGCACTCACCCTTCCGCCTGTGGCCACAGGAGGTTGGGTCCTAACACAATTGCCATGTTACTGGGAGTCATCTTGTTTACATCTTGATATTCTGATAGCTTGGATAAAAATTTGATCAAGTATCTGAAAGGAAGACAGAAGGGCCAGGTTCAACTCGGGCTCAACCCCAGCCACATTCCCCCAGCAGAGGGCAGAAATCTCTCCCGGGTAGCCCATCTTGCTGACAATGAGACTCCTACATCCTGCATTATAATGAAGATGTGTAACATGTCCAGCCATGAGAATGCTTGAGAAACAGACTCCGATCTCACTTGGCTACATGCCAACATCTGCTGCCGTGAACCCTGGCCAGAGAAATTCCCCGTCTTTCCTTTTGACTCAGGATCTGGTGACCTGAAGTCCCGCCTCCTTTTCAAACCTCAGTCACCTGCCACTCTCCCTGTGTGCTGAGGTGAGAAGCAAAGTGTCCAGGTGTCATCAGCGGGGACCTCTACATGCCAGGGCTGGTGTGCCCCGGGATTCACCTCAGTGGGGCTTTGAGAGCTAATGGAAAAAAAAGCTACACATAGATTTAGCACCGGAGCCAACAATTCACTCCCAGAGACCTACCCAAGAGAAATAGGCCCACATGCAAACTCGTACACAAATGTGCATCCCAGCAGTGTTATGCAAGCCAGCCAGAAAGTAGAGACCATCCAAAATGTCCACTGAGGGAGGAACGGATAAATAAAACGTGGTCTATCCAATACAACGGAATACTATTCACCCATGAAAAGGAACGAAATACTGACATGTGCTACCACACGGATGAACCTCGAGGACATTATCCTGAGTGAAATAAGCCAGACATAAAAGCCCACGTGTTGTAGGACCCCACCCAGGTGAAATGTCCAGCAGAAGCAAATCTGCAGAGACAGAGAAGGTAGATTCGTGTTTGCAAGGGGCCAGGCCTGGGCGGGGGGATGAAGAGTGACAGCTAATGGGAACAGGTTCCTTTGCGGGGTGATGAAAATGGTCTAAAGTGAGTGGTGGTAGTTGTGTGACTCGACACACATACAAACAACCATTAAATCGCACCCTTTAAGAGGACACAACGGTATGTGAATTATATCTCAAGGAACTAATGAGGAAGTCATACGTTAAATCGCTCTTGGGACTTTTTTTTTTTTTTTTTTAACTTGTGCTATAATCTACACAAGAATTACTACTTTCATCACTCTTTAAGTGTATGGTAGCATTAAGTACGTTCGCACTGTGAAGAACCATCACCACCATCCATCTCCAGATCGTTTTTAGCTTCCAGAACAGAATCTCTATACCCATTAAACACTCCCCTCCCCCCTGGCAGCCCCGCCCCCCTCCTTTCTGTCTCCATGAATGTGCCAGCTCCGGGTACCTCACATACGTGGGATCATACAGTATCTGTCCTTCTGTGTCTGGCTTCTTTTGTTTGGCACCATGTCCTCAAGATTCACCCGCCAAACATCACATTGCATGTATATTTTGTTTATACACCCAGCGATGGCCGTTTGGGCTGTTTTCACCTCTTGACTATTACGGATGATGCTGTCATGCACATGAGTGTACCAGTACCAAGTCCCTGTTTTCACATCTTCTGGGTCTATATATACCCAGAAGTGGCATGGTCAGATCAGATGGTAATTCTATGTTTAATTTCTTAAGGGTGAGCCATACCTTTGGCTGCTAGAATTTTGAACAGGAAAGCAGAAATATTCGGGCAGATGGCAACAGGAGCTGAAGCTGGGAGTCTGCATCTAGGGAAGCACGGAGGGGGGGTGGCAGGGCCAGGAGTGGTGCTGGCAAGCCAAAGGGAGGAGGAAGCAGAGAGTGTGAGAAGCAGAAAAGATCCGTAGAGGAGCGGGAAGTAAAATCCCGGGGCAGGGGGAGGGGGGAAGCAAGGAAAGTGAGAGAGAGAGAGAGACGTGCGGAAAAGAGGCGGTGAACGGTAGAGCACCAGAGGATACTCATCTGGCTCCTTCTCCCTGCAGACGAGCTCAAGGACACCTCCGCCAAGCAGCTCCAGGTTTGCTCAGCCTCTCCCAGCTGTGCCTGAACACTTATCTTTACAATAAATGCACAATATTGGGGCGCCCAGGAGGCTTCGTCGGTTGAGTGTCTGCCTGCTGGGGTCCTGGGATGGAGCCGGGCTCCCTGCTCAGCAGGGAGTCTGCTTCTCCCTCTCCCTCTGAGCCTTCCCCCACCCGTCTGCCACTCATGCTCTCGCTCTCAAATGGATAAATAAAAAATCGTAAAAAAAACTTAAAAATAGCTTGCATTCATCTTTGCTTCTTGCACATCAGAGAACTCAACTGAAGTAGCCAATGGCCTTCCAAAGTCATATAGCGCCTTCCGTTCTGTTCCTTCCTTGGCAACATGGTCATTAACAACCTCGCAGGGTTGTCTGAGGTTGAAAGGAGACCATGCGCATTAACAAGCTCGGCACCCCATAAAATGCCACGCAGGCTAGTTACCATGACCTTTAGCTGGGAAACCGTGTGTGCGTGGCTTAAATCACCCTGACCCCGCATCTCCAGGATCCGTCCACCTACCGGATGTTGTTGTGATTGGCCTTGGGCAATTTTTCACAAGCATTCCACAGAGCCTGAAGCCTCTTGTCTTGCTCCTGAATACTGGGGAATAAACAGGAAAGCCACTGGCTGAGCATGGATCAATCAGATCTCCCTGGCAATCATATTAACCAGTTGGAGAATGAGAAGCCAACGGTTGCGACCGACCCTCCCAGCGAGCTATTACTAGTTGAGTGCTGAGTGATGACTATTTCCTTCTCTGCGTCCCCCGTCTTGTCCTGCAGACCTCCTCGGCACTTGTCACGGGTCTCGGGTGAATGCAGGCCAGGGGAGCACGCGGGGGCAGGAGGGAAGAAGCCAGACACCTGCTGTAGAGCAAGCAAGGGCCGTGGGGTTGTCAGGAGACTGGCACAGGAACTAGGATACAACATACCCGTCAAGAGAGCTCAACCCACTTTCACACCGTGGGGCAGCCTACTGTCCGGTTCAATAGATGGTACTTAACGTTCCTTGGCATCTGACGCATCATAGGTGCTCCATAAATACCTTCTGAATTGGTACGTTCTATGAGCTCAAAATACACATACGGAAATCTGACCTTCATGAGCTAACTCAGAGATAGATAATTTCCATGAACCAAAGACTCTCCACTCTACAAAAGGTCTGCTCCAAGGGTTTTTTTAATTTTTTAATAAGGCCTCTAAGAATTGAAAGAGATTACTTACAGGACTACATTTTATATATGCTTCTCATGAAAATCTACAAGGCACACATGGTTAGGAAGGCCCTTCCGCTCAAAGAATCTTTTCTCCAGAAAAACTAAAAGGAAAATGTCAGCAGGGTGAGGGCTCAGCTTTGACCCCTTAACCTGGGGCCCTGAGGGCGGTGACCATCACCCACGGACTTCACTGCTGTGTACCAACAGGTCCTCCCACAGATCCTGACGAAGGGGAGAAAACCTCTTTTCTCCCTCAGTTCAGCCTTGAGGAAGAGGTAAGCATTCTCCAAAACACATTTTTCCTAGGACTCTGAAGTGCAAACCAAATGTGCCATTTAGAAAGGTGAACAGATCCTATTCGTGAAGTGGCTGCAATTTGACCAAAGGCTGGACAAGGAGGGTTTGGTGCAGCGAGGCCATTAAAGACCCAGCTCTATCCTGCCCGTGATCTTGTGCCAACTACTGCATCTCTGTGCAACCTCACCTCCCTCATCTGTAAAATGGGTTCATGGGACGACTTCCCGCCTGGAGTCGGCATGAGCGGTATAGAGGGGCCTCTGTACAAAGTGCTCAGCAGAGGGTCTGGTTGATCTCAGGCTTCCAATCAGGGTCTTGAGGGGAAAGGGCAGACGCTGCCAAGACCCAGCTAGGTCCCAACGCCCCGGCTGCCCTCCCTTCTCTAGCTCCTCTATCATTAAGATCACATACACGGTCTGGAAGTAAAAGCGACCATTTCCATCAGAGGATACGGTCTCATTTCTCTTCATCCCTAGGACCACTGAGTGGCTCTAGAGAGGCGTTAAGTGCTATAGTTAGGCACATGGGTTCCAGACTGGATCCCCTGGACTCAAATCCTCATTCTGCCATTTATTCACACGCCTGCTCTGGGACTCACCTTCCTCACCTGTAAGCTGGGGAAAACAGCACAGCCCACTTTCGAAGGGTTCGTTCCTGTGACAACTAAATGAGTTAAACGCATATAAGGAGCTTAGAACAGTGACAAGCCTGTAAAAAACCCTCGGCAGAGGTATCGCTCATGATCAATATCCTCATGGAGCTCACACCCACGCTCCACAAGAGATGTAAGCACGCCAGGTAATTAGCCTGGCTTTTCTGACGCACAGTCTCTACTCTACCTTGGGAAGAAAAGCCAGCGCCACGCAACATGACTGCAGCTAGTGGGTTCTCGAACACCACACACACAGAGCCTGGCTTCCCTTGGAGATCAGCTGGGCTCTTGCAGGGTCCAAAGAAGCACATACATACTCGAGCATTCCTTCCGACAACCTAAGTTGGCTGTGTTTTGAGACTAAACCTACGACTAGAGAGCTCTAGCAATCATGTCCCTTCTCAGGCACCTGGCTGAGGGCAGCCTGCAGACCAGATGTCAAGTTTTTAGATTAGCTACTAATGAGCCATTACTAATTGAATTGTAACGATTACAAGTAAGAGTCAAGACCCTGTGGCCCCTCCCTTGTTCTATTCTCTCCAGAAGGAATCACGATGATCCGCTTGTGTGAGCCCTTCCAGAACCTTCTATGGATTTATGCATCTATAGAGGCATTCCTAAAATTGTATGGTTTTGAGTGTTGTGTTTAAAAAAAAAAAAAAAACAGAATATCATATGTGTCCTTATTAACTTATTTTATTTCACTGAGAAGTTAAGTCTTCCTATCTTTTCATGTTAGCAGGAATAGCTCAACCAGGGTTTTGTTTTTTGTTTTTTTTTTTTAAAGATTTTACTTATTTGACAGCGAGAGACACAGCGAGAGAGGGAACACAAGCAGGGGGAGTGGGAGAGGGAGAAGCAGGCTTCCCACCGAGCAGAGAAGCAGGCTTCCCACCGTTAAGGCAGACGCTTAACGACTGAGCCACCCAGGCGCCCCTCAACCAGGGTTTTTAAGCGCTACAGAGTATGTCACAGTGTAGATATGCCATGGTTTATTTATTCATGTACCTGGCCCCCCCACCAATACATCTTTAATCATATCTAGGCTTTTCCTATTCAAAATAACACTGTCAATGGCATCCTTGTACATGCTCCTCTGGGTACAAGCACAAGCACTTCTCCATGATATATACCAAAAAGCGGAGTTAAGATCATAGGTTGCATGCTTTCCTAATTTCAATAAATACTTCCAAATAAATGCCACCCAACCACACACTCCAAAACGTGGTGTACTCACTTGGAAGCCTGAATCCACTCGTCATAGAGTTCAAAGGTCATCAGAGGTTCCGGCAACTCTCGGAGGTAAGATTTCAAAGCTCCTGGACATCGACACAATATTGGTTCTGAGCCACTTTACACTGGCATAGACGCGTCCCACCAGCCGGCATCACCCGTGGCATGTGGGTCGGGGGATGGGTGCCCCCTGACCCACACACCACGACCAAACGGTGCCTTCCCACATGACTGGATCGGAGGCTCTGGCAGGGCAGTGGGACCTGGACTGCCAATCACATTGGTTTCCCCCTTATTTCCCACCATCACCTCATCTGCTCTCGGCGTACTGGGGAGATTTTTCTTCAGGGGGCCCCAGCAATCAGGCTTAAGACTGAGCCTTGAGTGGATACATATGACACATGCTGGGCAGCCACTGGCTCGAGGGTCACGTGACTACACGCCCTTCCCGGTGAGCTCTCCAGCACAAGGGAGCCCCTGGCTAAGGGGCCAGAGGCGCCCACCTGCGATGGCGTGGGGGTCTGCCGAGTACTCCTGCACATCCACCACACAGCAGTCCAGAGCGGCCTTCAGCTTCTTCAACTTGGAGGCAGACGGCGCTACCCGGAAGAGTCCCTAAGACAGCACAGGGGGTCAGTGCGCAGCCCTGAAACTCAAAGGCACATGAGCAAAAGGAACAAACACAAAGTCTCCCTGGCTCCCTTCCTCCAAAATCTCCTTGATGCGTTTTCCCCATCACCATCACCCAATATTATAGTTGCCCTGCTCCCTGCAGGGTAAGTGTGTGCGTGTGCGTGTGTGTGTCCTGGGAGACGCAGGGCTCTACTCTACTTTTAGAGGCCAAGTCTATGTCCTCAGGGGACGGGCAAACTAGGGGCAGTTTTTCAGGGAGCGACACCTCAGTTGGCCCCTCTGTGTTTCATTCTTAAAGTTACTTCTGAATCCCTGTCACCTCTTCCAAGTGAACCACCGTACCTTGTACAAAAGTGAGCTCTGAAGCAAAAGAGAAGAAGAAAGAAGAAGGAAAAAGAAGGAGGAAGAAGGAAGAATAAGACAGGGGTGTGCTGAGGAGACAAATGCAGGTCACCATTAGAACGGAACCCCCCCAAGCCACAGGTGAGTTAGACATGGTCGAAGAGCTACTGATTGGTTTCACTTTCTCAGCTCCTGGCATTCTGTGATGCAGCCCACAGACTGAGAAACGGGCTGGCAGAATAGTCCCTGCTCTTTCAACCTTTCGTGACCACCATTTGGATCTCCACAGGTTCTTCAGAAGAAAACATGCCTGGTCTGGAATACGGAGTGTTTGGCCTGCTAAGATGGCTAACTCCGTTCTAAGTAGATGTCCAAAGCTCTCTTCCTCCGTGTACGTGAGGAAGCTCCATAAATATGTTTGGACTAGTATATAACTAAGGCTGATGTGACCAAGAGCAAGCTACAGCAGATACCAAAGCAGTGGGCTGGATTCTCATAAAACCATGCCACTGCCGAGGAGGAAACCAAACGCAATGGCACTTGGTGATGGACAATGCCAAAGAGAAGCGAGTAGGGTTGTCAAATAGAAGCCTATAGATTTTTAACTGTGTTACTGAGAAGGCTGTTTCACTGAGCAACAGATCAAAACCAAGAGGGGGAGGAGGAGATTCTTACAAAAGCTAGTGAGTCCAGTTTGGGGGCGTCTGAGGAAAATCTGTGGGTGCATAATGAAGAAATGGCGGCACACGTGGGAGTGGAGCCCAGAGGAGGGGGGAGGACCCCAAATGCTCCCTGAGGGCAGGGATGGGGTGATGGTGCTGATAATCCCGATGGTGCTGGCAGGGGTGAAAGGGAAACCAGGGAGCCAAGGCAAAAACAAAACCAAAGAGCTGGGGAAGGAGTATGAGGCTGTAGTTGGGTTGAAAAAAGATTTTTTTTTCCCCCAGGCTTGGGACCACCTGAGCATTTCTGCTACTAAAAGGAGAAAAGCTGGTACAAAGTAGAGAGAAACAGAAGAGAGAGCGGGGTGGCTGAGGGAGAGGTGGAAAGAACCTATGGACGTGGATTATATTTGAAGACATTGACACATCTGTTTCCTTTCTGTATATAATGTTTTTATGTTCCATATTATATGTAATTACTATTTATTCCCCATCTTTTAGAGAAACATACTGAAGTATTACAGGTGAAATGACACAGCGTCTGGGATGGGCTTCCAATTATCCAAGGCAGGCGTGGGGCGGGGGCAGGAACGGAGGCAGAGGGGAAGCAGGATTGTCCATAAGCTGCGTGATGAGGCTCATTATTTTATCTTTATGTGTTGCAGTTTTTCCGTAATTTTAAAAAGCGATGGCGGGGGGTGGAGGAGGCTCAGTTCACCTCCGTCCATAAGGCTCTCGCTCGGGGACTGTAAAGATCTCCTCATCTACTAACTGATAACAGACACGGGAATGCCCGACACTTAAAACGTGGTCCCAAAACCCACATTTATCCCCATCCCTTGAGAACAGGCCACATGTCAACACGCCTGGCACAGAGGCCGTGGCCAACACGCATCCGGACACTCACTGGCTTCCTTCTCTGGTGCAGACTCACCTCGGTTTGTCACACGTGACCCAGGGCCCACGTAAAGACTCGCAGATGTTCTGAATTAATCTGAATTAATCGGGTGCATTTGATGGACGCTTGACACATGCCCCCAGCACGTTCATAAGCCACCATCTCCCCCTCGTACACTCCGCTCAACGATAAATGCACGGCACACCATAAGTCAATCTCGACTGGCCGATCAGATCAAAGGAAGATGGACCAGAGATTTTTAAAATAGCCCACAGAAGGGACCAAATGCGAGGTCCACATCCCAGGAGACCGTTTACACGGCAATAAAACAACAGTCACCCATTTCCCATAGACTTCTTCACATGTGGCCCTCAAGAAGGGCTTGCTAACGTCACTATCAATCCTACTTTCGGGATCTCTAGAAAAGAGTTATGATCAAAAAGGTTAAAAGGTCTAGTTTTAAAATGAGGGAACTCATCAAGCAGAGGAGGAAGAGGGGGAGGAGGGAAGGGGGAGGAAGGAGGAGCAGCCTGGACACATCCTGGGGAATATGGAGACAGGGCGGCTGGACGTTCCTCGGGGGTCAGTGGTATCAGCCTCCCACAATCCAAGTGAAGGCTCACGGGAGAAAGCAGGACCAATGTGTGTGCTGCAGGATGGGGACCGTCTGGGGTGGCGGAAGCCAGGGAGAGGAGGAGATCCCGCAGGCTCTGTGGCCTGGAGAAGGACACCTGCTCGGGGCTGGGTTCAGCCGTCCCCGGACCTACCTCCTCCTGCATCCCACACTCAAGCAGCATTGTCACACAGGCCTCGATGGGAAAGGCGATCTCCCGGCCGCTGATCATCAGGTGCTCCTCCAGAGGCTTCCCGAAGGAAGGCTTCTCCACCCAGGCCTCTGAGTGGGGAAGCAAGAAAGGGGCCCTCGTGCTCGAATATTTCTTTTCCTCTGGTCAAAGACCTGCCTGACTCCCCAAGACACGGAGGCCCGGCTGAGTCTCCATTCTTGTGGTTTGGGGAGGAGGGAGGAGCCCGGGCGGGGCAGACGCCCCGGTGAGCTGCATCCGGACCTGCCGGGCTTCATGCTGGATATGCACCAACCACACACATCCACGCACACCCCCCAACTCATCCCCTGCGGGGAAGAGTGTGTGTGGGGGTGTGCTGGCTCAAGGGACCAGTATGGGAAGTTCTAGAGGCTCGTCTCAGCGTGGGCCTGTTGAGAGGTGCGTGAGGGTGGAGGAGGTCCAGGGCCTGAGGGTCTCATCCCAGCGGGCAAGCGGCCTCACCCACCTTCCCGCTCCAAGGAAGGTCTGCACTTACCCTGTTGTGCTTTTATCTGAGGCAACACGGCCTGCAAGAGGGCCAGTGACTTCCTGTGGTACTCTGCTTGCACTTCGATGAGCTGAGGAGACACAAGGGCGAACATTACCCTTTGCTGGAGGGTGAGGAGCACTGCTGCTGTGCCCCATGGGGAGGCTCCGCGTGAAGGTGCTACCTGATTCGCAGGGAAGGAGGCAGAGTCCCCTGCTCTCTCTCAGGCCACCTCAAATGACAACTTGAGCTTGCCTCCTCCTTAGCCTCGGGAGCAAAGGAGTCCCCAACAAGTGGACATTTTCGAGGCAGGAGAGCCACTGAGGATGACCTTGCCTTGCACCCCAGCCTCAAAGCAAAGGCAACAGTCAAAGGTACGACAGGAAACTATAAATGGGGAACACATTTAGAAATCCATTTGCCTAGGGGCGCCTGGGTGGCTGTTGGTGAAGCGTCTGACTCTTGGTTTTGGCTCAGGTCATGATCTCCGGGCCGTGGGATCGAGCCCTGTGTCAGGCTCCGTGCTCGGTGGGGAGTCTGCCTGGGATTCTCTCTCTCTCTCTGCTCCTCCCCCACCCTGAGCATGCATGCTCTCATGCTCTCTATCAAATAAATAAATAAATCTTTAAAAAAAAAATCCATTTGCCTAGAAGACAGAGCTAAATGCTAGGCTGTATACATCTTGGTTTCTGCAAAGTCAGTTTAATATATAAGTGATCAGAAACCATGCGGCTTGGTCCACAATCCTCAAGGACCTTGGGGGGTGAAATTGCTCTGGCTCCATGATATAGTCCCCCAAAACCCAAATTCTTTCAATTTCCCTGTTTTGACCCTCCTGCCACTAAAACAGCTGCTGAAATGTTAACCAAGAGCAGATGAACCGCGGTAAGCAATAGTCCTGCCATTTCTGTTGAGACCCCCACACCCCCCACCCCACAGCTGGATGTGCTCAAGGTAAAGGGGAGAGAATCGCTCCGTTTAAACACTTGGCACGGAGGGCAGATACTATTATCTCCAAGTAAAAACTAAACACTAGTTAAGAATTAAAAAAAAAAAAAGAATCAGAACATTGGAAAAAAAATGGTACATAAATGGTGAGGCGGCAGTCCAAGAAAGCTTTGGAATGTCAAAAATGTCATTAAGTTCCAGAAATTCTAAAATATTATCTCTGTAAATATACCCAATGGAATATACTTGAGGAAGTGCTATTATTTTAAAATAAACTTTCCAGGCTGGAAGGAATGCTTATCGGTTCTTTTTTGGGGGTCAAGGGAACGCCTCTCAAGGTCTGAATCACTGATCACAGCGTTGGGGGACTGCTACCGGCCCAGGGTGCTTACAATTTTAAAATTTTCAGGATTTCTCCTTCTTTTTCTCCCCCTTACCTTCCTTATCATTCCATCACTTCCCCAATCATTTAAGGTTTGAGTTTTGTCCCCAGCTTAGAAGGCATGTGAACTTAACTGGATTTTTAATTTGTATTTTTTTCTCTCAGGTTTTTTTTTTTTTTTAATTAGCGCTGGTTTTGTTTTATTTTGTTTTCGACTTGCCTTGCACTTACCCTGGTAGAGAGCCAGGGTCTTAATTATTTGGACCAGATTATTCAAGTATGGATGACTCAGATCCTGTTTCTCTCGGGTCTAAATCTGCTTTCATCGATGAGAATCAGGCAAACAGGCCCCATTAATCACCGTATACCTACTTGTCATTGTCTTTAGCCAAAATCGAAATGAGAAACGATTATGAGCTGGGGCCGGGGTTACCTTCTTCTCCCCAAGTTCCTTGTTTATAACAGACCCGGCTTTTGTAACCTTGGCCAGACTGACATTTGGGACTGAGTCATTCTTTGCTTTGGGGGACTGTCCCATGCACTGGAGGATGCTTAGCCTCACCCTTGACCTCTCCTCCCTAGATACACCTCTTCCCCTCATGGTGATGGCCTCAAGTGCCTGTAGACATGGCCAGACATCCACTGGAGGAGGGAACAAAATCACCCTCTGGTTGAGAACCACCGCCACAGACCACGGAGTCGCGATCAACTTCATAGATGGGTTGGTTTTATTCTTAGGTTTTTAGAGAAATTCATCCAAGGAGAAATAGAAGACCGGACTTATTCACAGACAGAAGAGTTAAAAACCACACTCTTTCCCATGATGTGCTTCACCGAGCGCCCTTCGGTTCCATGCCACGTTCCTTCCTGTTCGCACCCTGACTCTTATGAGCAAACCCGCTGTGCCCTTACCTTTCTAGACCCTTACCGTTTGAAAGTAGTTTGCATAGTCGATTTCTTTGGCCACAAAACTGTACATGTCTGCCGAGAGCTGGTCCTGTGGAAGGTAAAATGCACAACCGAGGTAAAACAGAGAACACTCTAGCGGCTAATGCATGAGTCTAGACATCGTAGAAGCAAGAACCTTCACCGCTGTTTAATCTCATTTTTAATGATTTGCGCCATGGCCCAGACTTTTCTCATGGGCATTCCCGCGTTTCCCAGCCATGACTCCAGAGAATGAGTAAGTATGGAAGGAGAGATTTCCCCAGGGATTATAAAGCATGAGCCACATCCAGAGTCAGGAAAGCTGGTGTGGGGGAGTGATGTGCAAATTACTTCCATACATCTCTGTAGTCTGTGTCACCACTCCTGAAAATGGTCCGCCCTTTCTTCTCCTTGATGGTTGCACTGCTTTGCTCTCCCTCGCCCCCAATATTGACTGGTCCATCACAAGCATATGGGAAAGAGGCGGAAACGCACCAATTTAGGGGAAGTTGGCGAAGACAGATGGGCGGGTTCAAAGGAAGGCTGCTGATTCGAAATTTGGAAAAACCGGGATTTAGTCAATGCCCCAGGCAAATCTAATGTTGTTAACTGTCCTTCGCCATCCAGCTCTACGTGGGATCAGGGGGCAACAACCTAACGCTGCATCTGAATCTGGAATGTGTCCAGCCCCCCTCGGAGGGAAAAACGGTTTCAGTTCCACAGAAACACCCATAGCGAGGTCCGGTAAAAGTACATTCTGAGAAGGATGCAGACTCGGTCACTAACCATGATTTTTAGCATGTCGTGTGTGTGACCTTGTCTGCACAAGTCAGGTGAGCTCTAAAGGTCCTTCCTGTCTGGGAGCCTTAGGTAGGAGATCTTTACAAGGGCTTAGTGGAGAGAAGAATCTATGATGTCTGTGTAGAGGAAAATAGGAGAGCAGCACAAGAAAGCTGATCCAGATGCTGAATGAATTCAAGCGAGCAACTATGTGCCTCAGCAAGAGCCTGGTGCGTGGAAACCTCAAGCATTCTGCACCAACCCCACCAACCCTCAGCCCCTCCAGCTGCCCATTAAGCTATTCTCAGTGAGAACACTGGGATGTGAGCAGCAGTTTCCTCTTCTAGTATCCTTGACAGGCAAACCATGTGGAAGAGTTCTTGCACCCAAGGCACAGAGTTCAAAGGGAAATCTCTTCTCTGGAGAGCTTTAAGCACAGATTAGTCAATGCTACACTTGGTCCAGTTTCAAAGAATGAAGAAAGAGGAGGGGGAAATGAATTACCATTCGTTGGGAACAATCTAAGTGCCAAGCACAATGTCACTTGGAGTTCTCATCTAACTCTCTTAGGGTAAAGTGCTCAATTTCCAATTTTGGATGAGTGGCTACCGAGAGTTCAAGGATCTTATCTCCTGTCTGTCCTCCACCATCTGAAATGTGCTTTGCACATTAGTAGGGGCTTCGTAACTATTTGCTGATGTAAGAGATGGAGAAACGCAGGCTCAGCAATGGTAACTTTCCCGAGGAATAAAATGTGTTCTAAGCCTCAGCTCCCGCTCACCGGAGCATCCTGGCAATGAAAGCCTTTGTGGGGCTGCTGAATCTAGCAAAGGTTCTAGAGGAATTGACTTCGTCTGCCATCCCCACCCCACCCAGCAGCTTTCTTTCGTCAGGAGACATCCATCACTGGCAGCTGTGAGGGAGGTATGTCAAGTCAGGGAAAACACAAAGGGTCAAAGGATCAAAATGGCTCAGCAGGCAGAGGAAAGGGAGGGACCCCTGAAAGACTAAATGTCACACTGAATACACCGTCAGTGACTCAGCATTCGAGCTTTGCCAAAAGATAATCCTAGAAAAGGCAGACAGACCGTCTGTAAGTGCCCTCAGGAACACCAACAGGTTTTTTAAAGGTATAATTAGATTACATTCTTACTGAGTTAACAATACAGGTCCCAAATAAGCTGCACTCCAAAGTCAGAAATAAAAGTGGAAACTAAATCCAATTTCCATGTATCTAAATCATTAGTGAATTTTCTTTATAAAGAAAAAACAAAACACATCAATAATCACCAGAGTTTAATGTGTCTCAAAAATCATTTGTTTTCTGATTTGGCAACCAATCCACACTCAGAAAGATACAGAGTGAATAACCAAATTCACCTGCCATCCCACCACAGAGAGATAAGCTCTAAATACCATGATGGCTGCTCATTTTGTATCTATTTTAATCAGTCATATGTTTTGTATGATTGCTTGGTTTACAAAAATGGGACCAGATGGTTTTGTAGCTCATTACCCCCCAGATAAACATTCTTTCTAGTGGCCACTCCTTATAGTTAAATTTAAAAATTATTAGCTAGATAGTCATGACCTGGGATATTAGGCTTTTGGTTAAAAAAGAAAAAAAGACCATGACACCTGGGCATATCATATTCAAACTTCAGAAAATCAATAATAATGAAATATTCAAAGAAGCCAGAGGTTAAAAACATTTGCCAGGAGAAGACCAAAGATAAGAATTACATCTGACCTTGCCTCAGAAACCATGAAAGCCAGAAAAGGGTGGGGTAAAATATTTAAAGTGTTGAGAAGAAAAAAACAAAAACCAAAAACAAAACCCTCCAACCTAGAATTCTGTACCCTACAAAATTACCTTCAAAAGGGACTTGAAGAAACTTTGTGGCCCATAGACCTAATAAGAAATGTTAAAAAAAAAAAAAAAAAAAGTTCTTTAAGAGAGAATGAAAAAGATACAGGTCAGAAACTCAGACCTACACAAAGAAGGGAAGACCATCAGAGAATGGGTACTGAAGCTACAATAAAACTTTTATTTTTATTCTTTTTTTTTTTTAAATCTCTAAATTTTATAATCAGTTCTTTATTTCAGTGTCTCAGGACTTAGGTTATGAACTGTACACTTATCCCCATGGGACTCTGACCCGTAGTATTGTTTACAAAATATAAGGATATCTGTTTCAAAATAAACCTAGGAAAAGTGGCCAGTAGCCTCTAGCTGCATGTAGTTGAAGTAATTTCTAAATTTCCAGTTTCTTATTGTCAGACTCTAATGAGGGCATACTGGTTACACATAAGAAAAAAAATAAATACAAAAAAATAAAAATAAATACAAAAAATACGCTGTTGTGATAAAGCATCGGGTGTTATATGCAACTAAAGCGTCACTGACCCTACACCAAAAACTAATGATGTACTTATATGTGGGCTAATCAAATTTAAATGTAAAAAAAAGATAATAAAAAAACCTAGTTAGTACTTTCAAGTTATTTGTACAGGTCTGGGTTTATCAAAATGTAAAATATTAGTAGATGTTTAAGTCCCAGACCTCTTAAGTAAATATGGGACCATTATACAACCATTAAGCTCTTAACTGAGCATTTACGTAGTCATTCCCTAGACAAAACCTAAATCTACAGTAAATCCTTCTTGTGACTCTGAGAAACTCTGCTTACCCGCTTTTAGAGAAGAGGTCACGGAGTTAGTAACGTGTGAGAACCGGCTATCCCACTTTTTTTTTTTTTTAATAATTTTTTTATTGTTATGTTAACCACCATACATCATTAGTTTTTGATGCAGTGTTCCATGATTCATTGTTTGTGCATAACACTATTTTTCTTATTCTTAATCCAACTGATGCATTTGTTCATAATGATAGCAACAATGTATTCATATCTATGTGAATGTATCCATGTATCCAGATAAACACACATGAATGCATGGATACATTCATATATACACACCTGTGCTTATGTTGGCTTATGTACAATATGTACAAGTCAGTGGATGGAACTAGGGACGTTTTCTCACTAAGAGATACTTGCACTATAAATGAAACAGTATCTAGCTATTCCAAAGTGGATTTGGATTAGTTGTAAATGTATACTGCAAACTCTAAGGCAACCACTAAAAAAGCCTAAAACAAAAAAGTATAATTGATATGCTGAGAAAGGACAGAAAATAAAAACATATAAAATGCTAAAGTAAAACTCAAAAGGCAGAAAACCTGAAGGCAGAAATAGTAATAAAGAACAAGGGCAACCAATAAAAAACAGGAACAATTATGGTAGATATTAATCCAACTATATTCAATAATTGTTTAAACAACAACGAAAAGACACCAATTAAAAGGCAGATATTGTCAGAGTGGATCAAAAACCAATGCCCAACTATATGTGGGTTACAAGAAACCCACTTTAAATATAAAGATATGTGTATATTATGGGGCGCCTGGGTGGCTCAGTCATTAAGCGGCTGCCTTCGACTCACGTCATGATCCCAGGGTCTTGGGATCGAGCCCCGCATCGGGCTCCCTGCTCTGCGGGAAGCCTGCTTCTCCCTATCCCGCTCCCCCTGCTTGTGTTCCCTCTCTCGCTGTGTCTCTGTCAAATAAATAAAATCTTTAAAAAAAAAAAAAAGATATGTATAGATTAAAAGTAAAAAGATGGAGAAAGGCATACCCTGTTAACACTAATCAAAAGAAAGTGGGAGTGGCTGGCTATATGTCCCCCAGACTGGCATTCTGAGTGAGAGAAATTATCAGGGAGAAAGAGGGACAACATTAATGCTAAAGGGGTCATTCTACAAGATGTAACAATCCTTTGTGTGTGTGCACCTAACAACACAGCATCAAAGTACATGAGGCAAAAGTGATAGAACTGCAAAGAGAAATACAGGAATCCACTCTTATAGCTGGCGACTTTAACACCCATCTATCAGAAATGGACAGCTCCAGCAGGAAGAACTGCAGTATGGACAGAGCTCAACTCAACGGCACCATCCATTAACTAGATAGAGCTGACACCCACAGACTAGTTCATCCAACAGCAGAATACACATTCTTCCCGAGCTCTCAAGGAATGTCCACTAAGACAGATCACATCATGGGCCATAAAACACATTTTGACAAATCTAGAAGAACTGAAATCATACAGTGTTGGCTCTCTGACCACAGTGGAATTAAACCAGAAATAAAATTACAGAAATAGAGCTGGAAAAATCCCCCAATACTTGGAGATGAAACAACACAATGCTAAATAACAACCTGATTTAAAAATGGGCAAAAGACCTGAACAGACATATCACCAAAGTATTATGGACAGATGGCAAGTAAGTGTGTGAAAAGATGTTCATCATCTTACGGCATCTGTGAAATACAATTTAGAACAACGAGACACCACAGCACCTCTGCTGGAATGGCCAATACTCAAAACATAGACCACACCAAATGCTTCAACCTTGAGGTGGAAGATGCCTGGGATATTTTCCCATGCAAAGGAATACACGCATATAAACAAGTTTTTAATGGCAGACATCAACAAAGCCAAATGGCAAATAGCAGACTGGAAAAATGATCTGCAACACAACAGAAAGAAGAAAGTTTAATACTCCTAATACGCAGAGAAAAAAATTTATAAATTGATATTTAAGAAAAACAGAAACGTTGGTCCAATTGCCAATACAAATAGGCAATTTGCCAGCCTGGGAATGTCTATGCATATCTGAAGAATATCCAATAAAGACACAAAGATCCACTCAGCATTACTAAGTCAGGGAAATTAAAATTACAGTAACATAGAGATAAGACAGCTTTTTCCCCCTCACCAGACTGGCAAAAGTTGAGAATAGGAACAATATACATCACAGGGAAAGATGTGGGGAAATGTGCAATTTTGTATATTGCTGGTGGGAATGTGAACTATTTCCTTTTGAGAGAAGTTAACTGTCACTACCAAAATCTAAAATGTATAGTCTTTGACCTAAAAATATCACTTTGGGGAAGCTATCCCATAAAAAAAAATTACCAGTGCATAAGAATATACATAGAAAGATGCTGACTGTATCATTCCTGGTGAGGGCAAAAAACAAAACATACTAGTTTGAATATCCATCAACAGGAAAAGAGTTACACAAATCATGGTGTATACGTATCCTTATGATGGAATACTATAGACTTTATTAAAAAGACTAAGAGCTATAGCTACTAACCTGGAGAGATATCCAGGATGTATTAATTGAGAGAAGCAAGTGGTAAATTAATATAAACAACAGAACTGTTCTACAAACACACACACACACACACACACACACACACAAGTAACTAGGAAAATTCTACGAGCATATGTTTGTATGATTATGAAAAAAAGGGGTGGGAGTCTATATAAAGGCCCTACAACTGACCTCCTTCATCTTTGTAACTTTTATGGCCACTGGGCATGTAACAGAGCACCACTGTTCACAACAATTCTGAATAAATGTTGGTGAAGAAGGGGAATTGGCCACTCTCTGGAAACAGAGGGGTTGCTGGGTAGGAATGGGGGACAATTACTGGTCTTTCTCCTTGATATATTTTCATGCTTTTTCACTGGTTATGGCAAAACGTATTACTTCTTTAATCTTTCAAAGGGAACTGAACATATTTTTTTTGGTAAAAAAACAGCACATGTAAACAGCTACAGAACAGCGAAGGTATTAAACTCCTGTTCTGATGTACTTGGAGAGTCATATTCAGCATCCCCTCGACACCGATGTATCTTGTCTGTTACGGGGTGATTTTTGTAAGAAACAGGACTCTTAACTAAAGAACACAAGTCCACGGTAAAATGGGGATGTTACACAGAGTCAAAGTGAGATCAGCATGAGAGTTAGACTTCACAAATGGCACCAGCTAAGTATTTGTCTTTTGGGAGTTCAAATGACAAACCAGCTGTACTCACGATGTATCTCAGGACCTGATGAAGCATTTCAAAGTCTTACTTTGCTCAAGTCCATAGTACTGTAGGTGGAGAGATCATGAATTCTTTACCGACTCGTCAGGGTTCCTAATTCCAGAGAGCAATTCTATCTGACCCTGAACGTCACCTGAATGCGAGGTTGAAGCCACCCCACGCAGAGCGGCTATAAAAAGAGAAGCCAAAGGGCAAGCTGACAAGACTAGAAAAAGCCACAAAGAACAGAGATGTCTGGATGCCAAGTGGCGACGCTCTTTTAAAACCATATGAGATTAGGGGGCACCTGGGTGGCTCAGTCGGTTAAGCATCTGCCTTTGGCTTGGGTCATGATCCTGGGGTCCTGAGATTGAGTCCTGCATCGGACTCCCTGCTCAGGGGGGAGTCTGCTTCTCCCTCTGCTTCTCCCCCACCTCGCACATGCTCTCTGTCTCTCAAATAAATAAAATAAATAAATAAAATCTCATGAACGGGGTCTTGCTAGTTCTGCCCCATACAACATTTGTGGCAAAGATGGGAAACGTCTGAACAGGTGTAACAAAGGGCTTCTGACATTCCCACGGGCAGAGGCATGGATTTCTTAGAATGCGACATTCCTCTCTTAACAAGAGGGAGACCTCCACTTTTTGCGGACTATCTCCTTGGTCAGCATTTCAACTTCACAGTTGACTATGTCCCAGGAGGCAGAAGATGGGTCAAGTGACTCAGGAAATATTATTACAAGGTGAACAAAAAGAAACAATTTAATACCAACAGCAAGTCAAGGTTGGTCTACTGTCTAAATTCTCAACTGTTCCACCCAGCCGAGAGTCCATTCTGTGGGACTCAGGTGCCTTACAAAAGCTTCACAGAGACACCAAGGCTACTTCCTCTGTGCCCGATGCACGGGAACCCTGTTGCTAACGCATTGCTGTCCCCCCTGTTGAGGCCGCCTCGAAGCCCCCAACTCTTAGGGCTCACCCCAGGCTCTAGAGACACCAGCAGGCAAGCTTGGGGACATTCAGCTCAACCAGAGCTCCCGCTTAGGTTTTAATAAAATGCCAGTGAGGAAAAAGGGACTCCCTTAGGGTTCCCCCATCTGTCAAGGTAAAGAGGAGCAAAGACGGGGGGAGGGGGGGAGGATACCCTGCAAATCTCCACTCTGTTGGCAGCTTCCTCCATTTCTTCCCTGAGGGCATCAGCTTTGGCACCTGCAGGCTGCAAGCCGCCGGACAGACCTGAAGACTTGGAAGTCTGCTGCCACCTGATGGAAAACGGGAGAAAAAGAGGGGAGGCGTAAGACAGGTGGAGAGCCCTGGGAATAACACCGTGGGGACGCGGAGAAGAGAAGCGGCTTACAAACACTACCCAGGAGGAAGGGGGCAGCTGTGGCCGGACACGGAGGGGACAGGCATGCCCCAGCCTGCCACCATTTCCCCGGAAATGTGTCGCCCGATGACCATCACTGGTGCTTTGTCCGAGGCCCGGTCTATGTCATCCCCGTAAGCTCCCTGCCTTCCCCGTGGGCTCGGAGTCTGGAAACACTCGCCGACGTGGCTGGAGCCAGTCACGGGTGTCGGGTGGGAGGGAGCAGCAGAGCAGAATCAAAACAAATCCGAAAGCCAAAATCTCCACCGGCCAGCACAAAAAAGCTTCCCGTAGACACTCGGATACCGCGTTCGTATTTCCTTCGACGTCTGTCCTTGTGCAGAGACAGCAGGTGTCGGAGGACGCGGCTCGGGAAAGTGTCGTGGCGAAGTACAGATGTTTCTGCCGGCCCTGGCATTATCAGGGAATTACCAAGAGCCCTGAAGGAAGATTCCGATCACACAAGACAGTTATAGGAGTTGCAGCAGGGATGAGCAGTGGGTTCTTTTTCCACGGAGTCTGTACATTCAATGGCTTATAGGGGCCCTGGAGTAAGAGCACCAAGTCAGATGGGTCAGTATCTTAAAAAACGAGTCCACCCTTTGTTTCCCTACTTGTAACTGGGACAGTTGAGATGCACAACCACTTCATGGCCCTAAGAAAAACAATAGGGTCGTTAGGATGACAAAGGGCGGCCAACAGGGGACGGCAGTCTCTCAGGGAAGTCGGGAAGGATAGTGAGGGGAAGGGGACCCTGATGGGGGTGCTGGCCTCCCTCAGTTGACAAGAGATGCTGGAAACCGTCATGTGAACACTCTCAAGAAATAGGGCAACAGACTATAAACAGTTTCGCTTAAACACCATGCAGGCCAGTGGCGTACAGACCAAACCTGATGGCCCTATGGGCCCTATCTGGCTCTTAGGCCATCCATCCTAGAGGCACAAAGTGCAATGTGACCCTCATTTTGAGAGTCAACAATCCCTAGCTGGTTTCTCTACATGATTTCTTCTTTCTCTTAGTTTGTTATCTGTGGGACAAAGAGAAGAGTACAAGACTATGACACAAGAAAGGGAAATGAAAGTCCTCTTTGCTATTAGCAAAAAAGAATAAAATAAAGGATTCTGTGTTACTTTAAAAAAAAAAATGTATTCATGTTGGGGGGGGCGCCTGGGTGGCTCAGTCCATTGGGCATCCGCCTCTTGATTTCGGCTCAGGTCATGATCTCAGGGTCCTGGGATCGAGCCCCAGGTCTGGCTCTGTGCTTAGCGGGGAGTCTGCTTGAGATTCTCCCTCTCCCTCTGCCCCTGCTCGCACTCGCTTTAAATAAATAAAATCTTTAAAAAAAATGCATTCACAGGAAAATGACTTAAGAAGGCTTTGGGATGTCAAGCTGGCTTGAAGGTCCTCAATTCATTCCTCATCCGAGTTAAGAATTCAGGGCAAATTACAAAGGAAATAGTCTACTCAAAGATGTTGAAAAATCTAACAGATACGGACTGCAAAAACTCGTGGGTAGTTCTTTCTCGTAATGGTTTGCCCGACAGAAATGATCTGTTTAATAAACTCCCGGTTTAGCCACTTGAAACAGAGTATTAAAGCGTTGTGGGATTTTTTTGTCAAATAAAATAGGAGATGCCATGGCTATAATTTAGATTGCTGATAATGAATATGGTAGATTATGAGATTAAGCTCAGGGGTGCCTGGCTGGCTCAGTGGGTAGAGCACATGGCTCTTGATCTCAGGATCTCAGGGTCATGAGTTCAAGCCCCACATTGTGTGTGGAGCCTACAAATAAATAAACAAACCAACCAACCAACCTGCAACCACCATGTGGCTCATGCTATCTCAAGAAAAAACAGCCAAACAATATATGTATGAAAAAAATTAAGTAAACAGACACTGAGTTTTTGAGGCTTCGAGGATCTGGATTCGATTTTTTGTAAAAACCCCTATCATCCTTAATATGTGTCTATTAAAATGAAGATATTTCCCCAAACTACCTTTCTTTTCTTTCCTATTTCCCTCTGTCTTTTCCTCTAAATATCTACTTTAGATAATCTCTTGGCAGTTTAGATCTTTCCCCCTCCCTTTATAGGGAACTTTATTCGCAATAGAGAAGTAACATACTTTGATATTACAAAATAGTGATAAGATGCAGAATGAGAGGGACGCCTGGGTGGCTCAGTCGTTAAGCGTCTGCCTTCGGCTCGGGTCATGATCCCAGGGTCCTGGGATCGAGCCCCGCACCAGGCTCCCTGCTCGGCGGGAAGCCTGCTTCTCCCTCTCCCACTCCCCCTGCTTGTGTTCCCTCTCTCGCTGTCTCTCTGTCAAATAAAAAAAAAATAAAAAAATAAAAAGATGCAGAAAATGAGAGTGTGGAAATCAGATAATAAAATAGCAAGGAAAACATGGGAAAATGTGTATGGACAGTAATCTGCTGGGAAAAGAGACCATAATCATGAATTTCAAGGTATGGTGGCTTTGTAAGACATCTGTTCTGTAAATAAACTCAAGCACTTTCCTGCTCCGTCAAGAGAAGAAACCAGGGATTCTCGACCAAGAAGTCTGAGCTTTCAAATTTGCAGAGCAGAAAGTTCTGGGCATTAAGGAGGGCACGTGATGTAACGAACACTGGGTGTTATATGCAACTGATGAATCACTGAACTGTACCTCTGAAACTTATAATACACTGTATGTTAACTGAATTTAAATAAAATAAAATAAAATAAAAAGAAGAAAGTTCTTCTCTGATGTGACACCGTTATTAGCTGGGAAAGGTGCCATTGCTATAGGGTCTGGGGGAGGTAGAGACAGAATACTAGCTTTAATGAAGGCTAGAGGAGAGAAAAGGGCCAGAAATAAGGGTATGGAATTTTAGGGATCAGGAAAAGGGTCAAGAGGGCAAAGGCAAGAGTTCAGGGCAACGGGAAGTAGAAAAGAAGGATTTCTGGAAGGCAGACAGGAACGTTCCTTTAGAGGGACATTTATTATTTCATCTGTCCAGTCTCCTTTCCTCTGTCATTGGCATCCTCCGGTTTGTGAGGTCCTGCCCTACTCCTGCTCTGATGTGTGGGCCAAAGGGAGCTGCCAGGGTTTTTGTTTTTTAAGATTTATTTATTTTAGAGAAAGAAAGAGAGAGAGCTGGGGAAGGGGCAGAGGGAAAAAATATCCAAGCAAAGCAGATTCCCGCTGAGCGCAGAGCCTGATGCAGGGCTTGATCTCACAACCCATGAGATCAGGACCTGAGCTGAAACCAAGAGTCGGACGCTTAACCAACTGAGCCACCCAGGTGCCCCGGGAAGCTGCCAGTTTTGCAATGGCCCTCACCGTGAGTGGCCCAGGTGAGGGTCCCTGATGCAAGCCAAGCCCACACCCAACCTTCATCACCTTGACTAATTGAGAGGCCAAGGAAGTGGTATCTAAGCAAAGTCTACACAAATGGACCCTCTTCTCTGTACTTTTGCAATTAGAACAAAAAGAACAGGTCTCATGCTGGGGAGACAGGAGCCCAAGGGACTATGAAGACACTGGATCTAAGATGCCTGATTCGGGAGAGGTAGGAGGTGAGGAACAGCTTCTAAGCCAAGGAGACTGTGCAGTCCTTCCCGGAGGCACTAAAATCTCTCCTAATTAGCTACTTCTTTAATTCCATGAGCTGCCCAGTATCCATCCCCCAACTCTCCTGTTTTATTTATATTAGTTCACCTGCTTCCAGAGAAGGCAGGTGTCTTCATCTGCCTGGGCTGCCGTGACAATATACCACAGACCAGGTGGCTTAAGCAACAGAAATTAGTTTTCTAGAAGTTCTGGAAGCTGGAAGCTCCAGATCGAGGTTCTGGCAGGATTTGGGTTTGGTAGAGGCTCTCTTACTGCCTCCTCACTTGGGCCTTTCCTCTGAGTGAGCGTGTAAAGAGAAAGAAACCTGTCCCTTCCTCTTCTTAGAAGGCCACCAACCCAATCTGGATTAAGGCCCTACCCTTATGACCTGACTTAACCTTAATTACTTCTGAAAGGTCCTATCTCCAGATAGAGTCATATTAGGGGGTTAGAGCTTTAACATGTGAATTTGGGGAGGGAGGATGAAATTTAGTCCACAGCTATTCAGCAGAAGCATAAAGGGTTCTGGACCCAGAAGGGTTGATCTTGAGATACACGCTCAGAAAAACTGAGGCAGACTTTGGGAAGGAACGGGGCTCCTTCTGCAACCATTGCCAAACCAAATCTATCACAGAAAAGACACTGTGTATCATTTGATTCAATTCATTTCAATTCACGATCTTAAATTCAGCATAAAACTTCCTTGAGTTTTTCCTCCAGCCTCCTTATCTATCATCTTTTACTCAACTTCTAAGCTTCGGTCTTCTCTAGGATATTTTTAAGGCTTGTACGATTGGCTTTCCAAGCAGACAAGCCAGATTTACTCGAATCGAGGCAAATACACACCTTGGATTCAGACCTACTTAAACATTGGATAAAGGAGTTGGATTTGACAGTACCCACCCAAGCTGTAGAATTCAAGGTAACTCGGGAACGACAAAAAAGGACTAAAGAAAGGTTTGGTAATCCCGCAAAGAACAGAACCTACAAACTGACCACAGTGGGAGGCAGGGTGGGGCGGGGGTGGGGCAGGAAGAACCCACTGTTCCAGAAGAGCAGCTGGGGATCCTTGCTATTCAATGGCATAGCATCTGGTCTTACTCTCACTGCTGTATCTTGGGATGTGGTCCTCATGCTGGATGAAGAGTGAGGGGTTAGGGAAAAGGCAGGAAGTTGGGGTGGGTTGGCTTCTGAAAAGACAAAGGTTGTCAAGGGTCTCGACTGAAGTTTAGAAGCATAAAAATTTGGAGGGGGGAGGTAGAGATTTCCTGACAATCAGCATGTCTTTACTCCTCGTGTGACTCCCCAGAGGTGGGTCTTGAACGCTGATGTCATGGGCGGCAAGTGGACGTGGTCTGAGGATACGGTAGTCGGTGATGCCAAATCCATACTCCCCACGCAGCCTGCTCGGTCTTCCTCCACAAGCGCTAAGGAGAGAGCCTCAGACCTGGGTCGGAAAAACTTTGACAACTTTCCTCCTCTTCCTTCTTAACAGAAGGGGATGAGCTTCGGGATCACAGCCTTCCATAGGCAACAGGATGTAAAATTTAACTGCACTGGCTTTGCTTTTGTCCTGTTCACTTCTGTGTCTACCTGGCATTCACAGCAAAGGGTAGTGCCTTTCGATGTGTGGTAGGGCTCTAACATTTTTTTGAACGGATTCATTTTGAAGAAGCGGATCGACTTTTTGCGAGATGCGTGGGTTCAGATGTCCAAAACTGGTCGGGTGGACTGAAGTTTGGGAAACACTAAATTAACGAAAGACATCTTTGTTTCTCTGCTGTACTAACCTGTTCTATTTCTGGTCTTGGGGGGACCGCCCTACACTTCGTATTGGTCCAGATGCAGAATTCCAGGGTCCCAACTAGCACTTGGGAAGCGCTGTGACAAATGTGATCTCAACTGACACTCAACACAACCTCCTCACGTCAACTCATGAACGGTATTACTACCTACGTGCAGGTGATGGAACTGCAACTCTGGGAGGTTGACTGACTTGACCAAGCTCACAGGTCTCGAAAACAGGTGACCTGGATCTCACCACCTCACCTCGGACTCCGGTTTCAGGACCCTATACTACATCTCTCAGCCCGAGTAGATCAGTATTTTCTGGTTTTGTTTCTTTTCCTCAAGAAAATTAAAAAGAGGTACGGAGAGGATTAAAATTGACCTGCAAAGGACCTCTGGTAGCACCAAAATGTTCCTTCTGTATTAATCTTCAGGAACCTGCATTCCTTCCAGTTGCACAGTTAGGCGCATACACCACTGTGAGAATTAAGAAGCTGTACACGCACCATCGGGACATATGGCGGTCAGAGTCAATGGCATCTCAGGGCCTCTGGAGACCCCCTGCTCTAACAGGCACTTTCTGGAGGCTTCTGAGAGACGCTGCAGGAGGAGAGCAACACAGCTAGAATGCTGCTTCCCTCATACTGGCCTCAGGTTCAGAGAATGGCTACAGAAAGGAGAGCTATATACCACTGGCTTCAGGAAAAGGTGGGTAGGTCCCAGAACCAGAAATTTCTCCCTTCTTTAGACACAACACCTCACCCACCCTGCCTCTTTGAGCTCAGCTCCTACTATGTCCCCCTTGGCTCTTACCCTGGCCACGCTGCCTTGGTGCTGTACCCTGAATATGGCAGCCTTATCTTCCCCTCACCCTCTGCCTCAGGGCCTTTGCACATGCTGTTCCTGCTGTCATGGACTCAATGTCCTGTGCCCAATCTCTGCATGGCTGCCTCCTTCTCATCATTTAGGTCCCAGATCAAGTGTCATTTCTAAGAAGACTTCTTTGTTTCAGCCTACCTAATGTCGTAGTCTCCCTTTCTCCATCACTCTCTTCTAAAACTGCACCATGCTACCTTCTTCACAGGACTTACAGACTCCTGAAATCGCTATGTGTTCACCGGCTTGTCTAGGGTCTCCATCTCCCACACTGGGCTACAGCCCCCGTGAGAACAGGGACCCCGTATCTCTGACTCACGACGCTCACCTCCAGTGCCTGCCACGTCGAGGGTATTAAGAAAAACTTAACAGAACAAAAACACACTCAACAAATGCCTCTACCCACAAACCCCTCCCCACCCCCCAAACACAATCACTGTTCCTTTTCCAAGAAGCAAAAAGGAAAGCAAAGAAACACTTCTGTACCTTGTTCGTGAAGAATCCATGTCCAGCACCAGCTTTGCTAAGTGTTTCCTCTGCTTCTGAATGTTTGGGATTTCCACCTGTGGTTACAGGACAGAGTCAGACTGAAGCTTCAGATGAATTCTTAAGTGGGCTGGAGGCCTCATTTCCAGAGGAAACCCTCAATTCTCTTGCCCGAGCTAACTGCTGCTCTTTCTTCACTGGACACCTGCCAGGCCCTCCATCACCCCAACCCTCTTAGGGGGCTCTGCACTCCTCTGCTCACTTTATTATGCCCGGCCTTACTCTTGCCCCCGCCTCGGCCAGCAAACATGGGCTCCATCCCAGCTCTGTCCACAGCACAAGGGCCATGCGTGGGGAGAAAAGCAGAACGAGCTGACACACAGACCTAATTCAAAACAGACAGCAGCATGACTAGTCTCAGGAGGCTTGAGATCTGATGGGGGAATGCAATCAGGATGTATTTTTATAGAAATAAAGTAAAACTTTTTTCCCCCAAATAAATACCCAATAAACATTACCATGGCTCTGTTCAGCTATGACAAGTTCTTCCATAGTGGTTGGTTGTATGTGGATGCTCTTTTTACAGTTTTATTTCTAAAAATATCTCCACTGAACATCCCAGTGTGGGATTTTGGGCCCCGGGGCTCAGCCAAAGAGGGGCAGGAAGTGAGAATTTAAAAGGGAAAACTGACTATATTGAAACCAAAAATCATCTCAGGCCACGGCTTTTATAGAGAAGGGAGAACTGTGAGGAAGGTCTTTGGAGCAGGGGTGAGTAACCTATGGAGGGGAACCATATCTGATATGGAAGAGAAGAAGTGGCCCCGGGTTCCTCCAGGCACCACAGAGCCCACAAGCAAAGCTGGAGGGGACTGGGAACATCTGGTTGGTACAAGTGAGTCTCAGCACCCAAGTCAAGCACGTCCCTTGGGTTTACCTCAGGCTTTGCCCGAGACCCCAGGCCGCTTTTCCGAAGAGCAAAGGGCCTCTCACATATGCACTTGGCTGGGCCTGTAAGAGGATAGCATCTGAGGAGTCTAGAGCTGATCTCTGTCAAACCACCATATATAGGATTTTCTCCTTGAAAACTTTTAGGCACTCTGGTTAACGATTTGCCCGTCCATTCTGTGACAGAAATTGCACCAGAGGATGGGGAGATGCTGGGGGCAGTCCAGGAAGGAAACCAGGCCTGGTCTAGGGCAATGCCGCCCAATATGGTAGCCTCTAGCTTCCTGTGGCTACGGCGTTTTAAATTTGAATGAACAAAAATTAAATAAAATTTAAAAGGTAGTTCCTCAGTGACACTAAGCACGTTTCAAGAGCTTACTAGCTCCCAGGTGGCTAGTGGCTAGCAAACTGTGCAGACACAGAGCATCTGCAGTTCCATGGGACAGGGCTGGTGCGGTCCTGGATGGCCAATTCAGGGCAACTGGTGGGAAGTCAAGGGCTCAAGGCACATAAAATCCCCAACCATTTCCATTCTTACTTGACACAATTTCACTTGGTTGAAGCTAGCCAAATTGTCACGTGGACATCAAGGTGTCTTTGTACCCAAATGGTTTTATTTGGTATCCTTTAAGATCCAAAGACAAAGGGGATGAAGAGTGCACTTATCCCAACGAGCACTGCGGAAGGTATAGAACTGTTGATTTGCTATATTGTGCACTTGAAACTCACAGAATGCTGTGTGTGAACTACACTGGAATTAAAGTAAGAAATAATAAAATCGAATTAAATGAAAGAGAAGGGATGCATGTACACATAAGGTGCCAAGGGCCCTACAGAGAGTCTCCTCCTGAGACTGGGGGCTGCCGTTCCTTTTCCAGAAGATGGGAGATGGGTGGAGGGCAGGGTTGGTATAGCGTGCAGGCTCTGGTGGGGAAGGACGTTGGGAGCTACCTTTGTTCCTGTCCCCACCGAAACACCAGGGGAGAAGAGTGTGGGTGGGAGAGGGGACCAGCAGGCAGCAGGAGGGGCTCCACATCAGGGAATCCAGACCAGGCGGACGGGAAGTGATAATTCCTGATGAAGAACAGGGTCACCGGGCAGTGTGGCCTCATGTGTGCGGCTTACCTCGGCCAGCAAAAACAGGGGCTCGATCACGTCTCTCTCCACCTGCAGCTCAAAGTGGATCAGCTCCTGAGCCAGCTTGTCCTCTGTCTCTCCGCAGAGTTTCAGCATCTTCCTGCAACGGGAGGGGAAAGCCATAGGTGTGGATGTAGAGGGCATTCAAATTCTTTTTCCGATCTGCTGCAAATTTCAACTTCCAGGTCGTGGACTTCTCTTCGTTCCTTTTTTAATGGTGTCTTTGATTTGATTTGTCTATTACTTACCTCCATGCTCCTGATGCTACTTGTTAATCTTTTTTTTTTTTTTTTTTTTAAGCATTGGCTATTGACAGTCAACTCTGGAAAATGAGAATTTGGTGATCTTTACATCTGCCCTCCCTGCATTTATTTATATCAGTAGACCTTTAGTATTTGCACTACATTTTGATCCCATGTGCCATTCAGAGTTTGGCTGGGTAGGATATGGTGATCACTGGTCTTTCCCACACATTTGTCCTCTCTGTAGAGTTAATTGTCTTGCTTTGGTTTGCTTGTTTAGTTTTTCTATAGACCTAACTGAACCCCAAATCCTCCACCAGTATTTTGTCTAAGATACTGAACCACACTTGATGTGAATGAATTCCATCTTGAATTCGTCTCTCCTGGACCCGCGTCAACCTGGATTGACTTTCCCTTCGATCCCTTGGCACAGCTGTCTTCCTGCACACTTCCTTCCCCATTTCCTGGGATTTTTCTCTCCCTCTGTCCTATGCCAGATAGATCTTATTTCCCATATCCTGTGTCTACCTCTTTCTTAGTCACTCCATTGTAGAGCACACCTTGCTTTAGCTGCCCGAGAAAGAATGTGCAGGAAGCCAATTTTTGAGACCTTGCATGTCATGACATTCCCCTCTACCCTCACGTTGATTGCTAGGCAGGATATTGAATTCTATGCTGAGCATCATATTCCTTCAGAATTTTGAAGGCATTCCACAGCAATCTCCTTGCTTCCATTGTTGCGTTTGGCAAGTCTGGAAGCATTCAGATTTCTGAGCCTTTCTATGTGACCATTTTTTTTCCTCCAGAAGGTTGTAGAATCTCTGTACTTGTCACTAGTCTTCCCTAGCGGTGAGCCCGGGCACAGATTCAACTTTTTCTATTGTATCAGGAGCTCAGTGCGCCCTTTCAATATAGGAACTCAGGTCCTTCTGTTCTGGAAAACTCTTCTGGATTACTTTATTACTACTGTTATTCTTATATTTTAATAATATAAGTTATTCAGGCCTACAACTTACTGGATTGGTCCTCTAATCTTCCAACCTTTCTATTTTTCCTGTCATGGTTGTCTTCTCGTCTCTGAATTTCTTCGACTTTATCTTCCAAACTTGCCACTGAAAATGTACTCTTTGTTTCCATGAGCTTGCTCTCGACTTCAGAGTATTTCTTTCCCATAGCATTTTTTTATTGACATCCTGGGTTTTTTAATTCTTTCTTTTTTCATTGAGATATAATTGAAAAACATACCGGCTTTCATTCATGGACGCATTATTTTCTCTTAGCACTTGACAATGTAAGCATTGTGTTTTCCTGAAATCTCCTTCCCATGCAATATCTATTTCTTCCGAGTTATATTTTCTCCTCCCCTACTGTTTTGGTATGTAGGCTGCAGCTTAGACTTCCTTCAAAGTCTGGTGAGCTTGGACGCCTGTCTATATTTAAGAGTGGGGACTCAACAGCTTGGAGTATGTGAGTAAAGCTCATTGGCTGTGAGCTTATCTATAGGATGGCTGAGCTGGGCCATTTGTTCAAGCATCGCCCCCTCCAATATCTTTGAGTCTTTAGTTCATTCCTGTTGGGCTGGTCACATTTGCCAGAGAAGGCTCTTCTTGCTTTCCTACCTAGAGAGGAAAGACCTGGGGGTGGCATGGGTGGGGGGAGAGAGATGCAGAATCTTAGCATCCAGTAGGCATTAGTCACTTTAATGTGTGATACCCTTACATGGTGTCCACAGCCTGGGGACACTCTGCTTTATACCCTCCAGAGAATAAAGCTCTAGACTCTTCTGCTGGGGCTGGGAGTGAGGAGATGAGGGTCTCCCAGAGCTGTGGATAAGGGCTGGGTTTGAGCCACCCAAGTGATACTAAGCTAGCTTTCAACACACACTCATAACTTGGATCACCTCCCAGCCCCAAAGACCCACTCACCATTCTAGAGATCCCTGGGGCCACCACGCCTGAGCCTGCAAGCATTTCAGGATGTAAATGACATTGGCTGTCTGTATATCCTACTTCTGGCTCCAGAGTCCAGTTTCTGAGACCTGTCCAGTGAGTTATCAGTCCATTCTAAGCTTCACAGCTCACAAAATTTTGTTTCCTCTCCTGTTTTTCATGCCTTTCTAGGTTCATGTCTTTTAATAATAACAAAAAAAAAAAAAATCCCTTCATCGTAGCGGATTTGGGAAGGGAACAAAATTCGATGTGTGTGCTCAGTCTGTCTTTTTTACCTGGGTGTCCTTCATCCCTTCACCTCCAACCTTCCTTCATCCCTTCACCTCCAACCTTCCTGTGTCCCTATGCTTTAGGCGAATCTCAGAATTAGCCTGCATGTCAAACAATGAATCACGGAACACTACATCAAAAACTAATGATGTAATGTATGGTGATTAACAAAAAAATTTAAAAAAAAAGAGCGTGCATGTTTCTCCACCTGTGATGCTCTATATTATGAGCTGTAGAGTTTATTCCATCTTTTATGACTGCAGATAAAGAGCTCTTAACTTATACCTTTACTTTGTTTTTGCTTTCCTTGCTTTTTGCTCTTTTAGTCCCTTCTAGGGTGTTTGTTTGTTTTTTTCCCTATTTTATTTACTTCCCTTTTCATCCTGTTACTAATTTTGAAGTGCCACATTCTATTCCTCTTGGGGTTCCTCTTGCTTTTCTAACACACACACCTTACACGAAAATGCAACACCTTATCTTTCAAAGAGTTAAAGACCTTGAAACACTGAAGACCTTCCCAATGTTCCATGCTATTATTTTCTGGTATTTTTGTTTCACTTTGCTTTACACCAACCCCCCAACACACACAAATTAATGTTTTAATTCAATGCTTATTTGTATTTCTTTACACCAAAAGGTAACAGAATATGCCATCCCCAAAATGCTGCTTGGGCATAAGGATTATTTTGAGCTGAAGACAATCGAGAAGCAGATACAGAAGAGATCTCTGCCCTCCCCCTATTTGCTACTTGCATGTCATTCCTTCCTTCTGTATGTAACCTGTTTTGCACACCTTAACTAGTTCTTACAGTGAGAATATGCGAGTAGTAATTTTTCCTAAATCTTTGCCTGCACTATCTTTATTTTCCCTTTATTCTTACATAATGGTGAAGTTCATCATAGAATCTAGGTTTCTTATATTTTCACTCAATACTTGAAGGGATTCCTCCATTACTGCCTCACATTTATTTTGGTTGATGAATAAGTAGTCTGCTATCAACTGAATTACTCTTTCTCTTTTAAAAGATTGACTGATTAAGAGAGAGTTTGAGTGAGCGAGCGAGCAGGAGGGGGAGAGGGAGAGAGAATTCTAAGCAGACTCCCCGCTGAGCACAGAGCCCAAAGCAGGGCTCGATCTCATAACCCTGAGATCATGACCTGAGCCGAAATCAAGAGTTGGATGCTCAACTGACTGAGCCACCCAGGCGCCCCTTGAATTACTCTTTTACATGCAATCATCTTTTCCTCTGCTTGATTTTACATTTCTTTTTTTTTTCTTGTTAATAATCTGTAGTCTTCCTATCGTGCATCCGGGGATAGATTTCTTTCTGTTGACCTCAGTTAGCATATTTTGTGCTTCTTCAATCTAAAGATTTAGGGTTGTTTGTTTTTGTTTTTTTTTCAAATCTAGAAAATAAAAGTTCCACCGTAATAATTTCCCCTTGTCCTCATTCTCTTCTTGGGGAACAGCTCCCAGACACAGGTCTGCATTCTATCATCCATGCTTGTCCATTTCCAAATGCCACCTCCCCATCTCTTGTGAATCACTCTGCTGGTTCTCGGTGGCAACTTCCCATCTGTTTGCAAGCTCACCAATTCTTTATTGGTGTGCAATTTCAGTTTATCTCAAGTGTTTTTTTTTTTTTTTTTAATTCCCTATGCTGCACCTTCCATCCCCTTGACTTGTTTCATAGCTGGAATTCTGAACCTCCCACTCCGCTCCCCCCATTTTGCTCACCCCCCCATACCCCTCCCCTCTGGCCACCATCAGTTTGTTCTCTGTATTCATAGGTCTGTTTCTGTTTTTGTTTGTTTGTTCATTTGTTTTTCAGAGTCCATGTATAAGTGAAATCATATGGTATTCGTCTTTCTCTGTCTTATTTCACTTAGCATTAATACCCACTGGGTCCATCTTTACAGTCACAAGTGACAAGATCTCATTCTTTTTTATGGCTGAGTACTATTCCATTATATATAAATACTCTTATACATAGACAGACACACTCATGCACCCCACATCTTCTTTGTCCATTCATTTTATCAATAAATGGACACTGGGGCTACTTCTGTATCTTTGCTATAATAAATAATGCTGCAATATAAACACAGGAGCGCATACATGCTTTTGAATTAGTGTTTTTGTCTTCTTTGAGTAAATACCCAGTAATGCAATTGCTGGATCATACGGTTAAGTCTATTTTTAACTTTCTGAGGAACCCCCATACTGTTTCCCACAGTGGCTGCATCGGTCTGCATTCCCACCAACAGGGCATGAGGGTTCCTTTTTCTCTGAATCCTCGCCAAGAGCTTGTCTCATGGCTTTAAATTATAATAAGTATGATTTCAATTTTAAAAAGTTCTATTTGGTTTTTCTTTAATTCAGTCTATTCTTTTTTTCTTTCCATATCATTTGGTTCTTTGGTCAAGGACTATTTTGTCTTTTAAACTGAAGTCTATAATGGACATATAACATTTGTTTTAGGTGTACAATGGAAGGATTCAACATTTGCATATACTGTGAAATGAGCATCACGGTACGTCTAGTTAACGTGTCACCATAGATAGTTACAACAGGAATTTTTTTTTTTCCTTAAAATATGGAGTGTTTCACACACTGGCCTGTCACCCATGCTCAGGGGCCATACTAATGTCTACTGTTCCAATTTGAGCACATGTGCTGCTAAAGCGCGCACTGTCCTTACTTAATTTTTAAGCTTCATTTTAAGCATAACTCTTTCACACATATTGATATCTATTACTTCCTATTTTCTTTCATATTACCGCATTATTTTTAGTTCTCTCCGCTTCTCCTGCTGATCGTGCCTTGCTGATCCTCCCTCACGACGATTCTATTTTTAGTTTGTTTTTATTGTGAGCTCAAACTCAGCCTGGGTTGTTCTGGGAATCCTATAATTTTTGACATCTGACATGGAGAGGTTTCCCATTTATTTCGGCTGGAGCCCTGGGGATTTCATTTGTCCTTCAACCGTTTATTGCGTTTATTATGCTAATTTCTCCACCCGGGGGAGTTGCCTCCCTGCACAGCCAATATGACTTTGGAGCCTGGGGTTTTGATTTTTCTCACCAGCAAACGTTTTCTTCTTCCTACCCCAGTCCCAGCTAGTCTTCAAGTGTCCTCAGTGCATCCCTGAGAATTTCTGGCCCACTTCTCAGGGATGGGAGCTTACCTAGACTCGACGCAAACCCACACATGGTGTCACCTACCCGAGAAGTGTGTCATCTCCCAGGATAGCTGACCCCTCCATCAAACACTGAGCCAGTGTTGTCAAAGGCAACTTTTTCTGAAAAGGAAAAGAAACAAAAAACAAAAAAACCTGTTGTAATGAAAATTACTTCAACAGCCACTGCCTACTCTGAAACAGCAAAAAGTCAAATACTGCCTGGGTACTGTATTAGCTAAGACAAAAATGGACTTTAAAGTATGTTTAAAACCTAAACATTCATGGCATACAGAACAGATTAGACTCAGAGATCAAAATTCAGAAAATAAAAACCGAATTAAATGTGGCAATCTGGAAAATTAGCCCAAGGTTTACAGGCTGCATTTTTTTTTATTATGTTATGTTAATCACCATACATTACATCATTAGTTTGTGATGTAGTGTTCCATGATTCATTGTTTGTGCATAACACCCAGGGCTCCACGCAGAACATGGCCTCTTTAATACCCATCACCAGGCTAACCCATCCCTCCACCCCCCTCCCCTCTAGAACCCTCAGTTTGTTTTTCAGAGTCCATCATCTCTCATGTACAGGCTGCATTTTAAAATAAAATGGGATGGGGCGCCTGGGTGGCTCAGTCGGTGAAGCGTCTGACTCTTGATCTCAGCTCAGGTCTTGATCTCAGGGTTGTGAGTTCAAGCCCTGCATTGGGCTCCACACTGGGTGTGGAACCTACTTAAAAATAAAATGAAATAAAATAGAGTGGGATAGTGACAAGAAAAAATAAAGACAAGATTTCAAACTTACATTAACAAAGATTTGAACAATGCTTTAATTTCCAAAAGTCAGTCTCTCTTTGGAGAAGTGCCTTAGCCCCATTTTATAAATGAGACAGCTTGCAGCACCTGGGTGGCCCAGTGGATGAACATCTGCCTTCAGCTCAGGTCATGTTCCCAGGGTCCTGGGATTGAGCCCTGCAAGGTCAGACTCCCTGATCAGTGTGGAGTCTGCTTCTCCCTCTCCCTCTGCTCCTCCCCTCTACTTGGGCGCACTCTCTCTCTAATAAATAAATAAAATCTTAAAAAAAAAATCAATAAATGAGGCAGCTCATGGTCCAGAAAGAGAGAGAAGTGTTCACATACAATAACAATGCAAAGAAAATAAGCATAAAAATAAAGGCACGCTCTAAGGAAGATAGAAAATGGCTGACGAGCACTAGAAAAGACACTAAACATCATGAGTCACGAAGAAAGTCCGAAGAAAATCCAAATCAAAGCCACCGTGAGTTACCACCTCACACCCACTAGGATGGCAAGAGGAGTAATAATAATAATCAGAAAATAAGTATTGGTGAGCCCGAGGAGTGTTGGTGAGCCTGTGCAGAACCTTCGTGCTGTGCAGGTGTAAACAAAACGGGGCAGCACTGTGCTGAAGTTTGGCAGTATTTCAGTAAATTAAACAAAATTACCAAATGGCCTGGCAAGGCTACTCAATGCCATGCAAAAGAACTGAAGACAGACTGTCAAACAAACACCCATGCATGCACGTGAACAGCAGCACCATTCACAACAGCCCAAAGGTGCAAAGAGCTCCAGTGTCCGTCAACTGACGAATGGATGGATTACGAGTGGTATATGCATATGGTGGAATATTATTCGGCCGTAAAAAGGAATGAATGGCTGACACATACTAGGACATGGATGAACCCTGAGAACATCATGCTCAATAAGCCAGACACACAAGGCACTGATCAGATGATTCGATTTACAGGAAATATCCAAAAGAGGCAAATCCACACTATTGTAGCATGGCCCATTCCCTCCTTGCTACACACCAAGCCCTCTCCTCACTGAGCTGAAACCACAATGCTACATGGATAAGCTCTTCAACTGGAAAGCAACTGGATTGCACGCAGTCCAGAGCCTCCTCTATTACACAGAGATCTTCAGCTACTCTCATGAAACTTATACTCTACATGCAGGGAAACAAAAAATAAACATGCAAACTGTAACGGGGATCATTTCAAATAGTTGGAAGTGGTATGGACAACAGAAATCAGGACAATGAGAAGTGGGCTGCGGCGGGGCATGGAGCCCCGACACGGGAAGACCTCTCAGAGGGGGTGGCATTTAAGATGCAACTCAAGTGGGACAGAGTCAGCCATGCCTCAAAAAGATTTGAGAAAGAACAGTCCAGGTAGAGGGAACTGCAAGTGCAACGGCCCTGAGGTAGAACTAACATGGCTGGCTTGAGGTCCCTGCTTTGAACACCCCCAGGAGATCCACACGCTCTAAGGTATCTCCAGGGAAGACACGGGCAGGTAGGTCAGCCCGCCAGAGTGACGTGGAAATTCATGTGGTTCCTGAGGTAAATCCTGGTAGAGAGCCCAAGACACCTGTGTGGATAAGGTCCTTCAGTGGGTCTAAAATATATACCCCTCCCTGTGCTTAGACATGTCCCCTCCAGTGAAGTCAGATGCCTTTCACTCAAGGGATAAACTCATTACTCATCACTTCAAATAAAATGGGACATTCTTCTTGGTAAAAACTAGACCACGCAACTCAGTATTAATGTATCCAAATTTAAACATCACTTTCTAGTTGTCCTACAAAGGTATTATGTACACATTTCTGGAGACTTAATTAAAGGTGCAGTAAACAGTGTTATGAGAGTGGGTACTCCCACATCGCCTTTTAAAGAAAGTTATTTAAAGCACATTTTTTAAAAAGTGTCTAAAGTGGTTAAAAATGAAAAGAGTTAGGCAGGTATGAATATATGCTCACAGAGGCACCATGACTTAAGGTATTAGTTCTTAATCAGGAGTGATTCTGCCTCCTTGGGAACTCTGGCAATGTATGGAGATATTTTCACTTCTCACAACATGGGAAACACCACTGGCATCTAATGGAGAGAAGCCAGGGATGCTGCTAAACATGCTACTATGCAGAGGACAGTCTCCCCAAAATAAAGAACTACCTAGACCAAGATATCAAGAGTGCTGAGGCTGAGACACGGTTTAAGGAGAAAGGTCTTCAATATGTAAATTCCTAAAATATTCCAATAACAAACCAGAGAAGATGCTCTGCCTTGAATGTCAGGTAGAACAATCCCGGTCTGGGTTAGCTCACACAGAAAGACCACTTTGGTTTGTGCTGAGCATCCCGAGTCCCATGACTCCTGCCTTTGGGGCAGGGCCTCAGCTATCCAGAATCCTTCTTTAAAATTTGACGATGAAACAAAGTAAGAAAGACCATGCCTAGAACAGACTAAATGGGGACCTCCAATAGCCTCGAAATTGACATCCTTTGGGGAAATGTATCTACCAGTTGATGACTTGAGTTTTTCTAATATGGACAAAGATGAGCTCAATTAGTCCTACCAGGGGATCAAGCAGGAAACTGGGCCTGTGCGTGGCTAAAGGCAGGAGGGCCATGATCAAGAGAACAAAAACAGCCGCTGAGGACCGCGAGGCTAGCCAGTGTTGGAGAAGGATGATGGGCACAGCCAAGTGTCTGTTCCGCACAATCCACACTAGAAAAAGCAGCCTGAAGTGCAGGACTTTGTTATTTTCCACTTATTATTATTATCTTCCACTCAGTTCATCACTTAACACCCTCACTAATGACTCTGAGAGGCTTTCAGGTGGCAAAGAGAGCAGCATCCAGTGACACATTATCACAAAGTGAGAGTTATTCCTGTTTCGATGGTCTTTTAATCCATAATATTTTAACATGGAGAATAACCTTTCTCTCTCTTGCTCTTTGTTCTATCTAGCTAGCTAGCTACGTGTTGGAGGAGGTCACTAAGACCATGTGACTGCTGACTGACCCGTGAGCTGGCCCCAGGCAATCAGAGGTTCCTTGCCCCACTCCTACCCTGTCTTGCCCAAGCTAGAAGCTGCCCTAAGGACACAGTCCGGGGAAAGTAAGGTGCTGTTGAGACCATCTGGACGTATACGGGACCAAACCCAGTTACGGTCTCTTTATGAACTTTTAAGATTTGGCGGGTGGGTGTGGGAATCAATTAGTCTTGTGACCACCCAAGACGAACTTCATATATAAGCTCCCTTGCTTCTTAAACCTGCCACCTACCAAAGGTGGAGCGGTCTCTTTCTGTGATCTCTCTTTGCCCTCTGTGTCCAAGAGCCAGTTTGCAAGCCAACACTCTAACAGATTAATTTTTAACCAGTAAATACATGAGTATGGCACAAAACTCAAAAGTCACTAGAAAGTTTACAGTAGCAACTGTCTATCCCATCCTTGACTCTTGGACACCTAGTGCCCTTCACCAGACACCATGACAGTGATAAGTCTTTTGTACATCCTTCCATAAACACTAAGTGGATCCAATTATACGTATGTGTGTGTCTATTTTTAGTGGATGCTTTTTCCCCTGCAAATGTTAGCATACTATACCCACCACTCTGAGCCTTCCTTTCCTTTTTGTGTACAAATACCTCTTCGGTCATTTCCCAACATGACAACCTGAGCTGTTCCATTCTTCCTCTTCTTTTTTTTTAACGGCTACATAGATCACAGAATGAAGAGGAGAAAATTTATTTTAACAAGTCCTCCACTGGAGAGTGTAACTGTCACAAACCAGGGCCTGTGCTCATGGCACAGGTGACTCTCAGGAGGAAGAATCCCCTCTGGGAGGGAGGCTGAGGGTGAATTTGTGTGTGGACTTCCAAGGGCAGGAGTGAAGGAGGTTAACTGGGCAAAACCTTGGTGGAAATTAAGGATTTGTTTTTATTTATATAGATGCTTTTGAAATCGATGAGTGAGAAGGAAGCCACTAAGCAAAAAGAGGAAGGAAGAAATGAATCAAGGCTGTATATCTTCATGTCAGAAAGGGGACAGTGACAGTGAGTAATCAAAGATGGCAAAAGAGAAGTTAATGAACTGTAATCTACAACAGACTACAAATTAGTTCTATTTCTAAAGAGATTCTCTGAGATGAAGGAAAAATTGAGGGTTCGGTGGATGGCACACTACTGAACCTCATGACTGCCTATAACTGAGGTAATATCCGCTTTCTCCCCCCGCCCACCCCCCGTCTGCTCACCCCCACCTTCATGGATAAGGACACTGAGTCTCTTCATGTAAGGGATATAAGGAAG